AATAGACTAAGTGCATTATGTTCACTGTTAAAAGTTAGGTTGGCAGGGTATTCTATAATTGCTCCTTCCTGCAACTTGCAATGCCATCCTTCTTTTGAGAGATGTAAATTTGGCAACTACCAAACTTTTGTCTTTGTTGCACCCCATGGCGTTTCTTTCACTTACATTTCGAAGAGTCTTAACTGATTTACATCTCTTAAAAGTAGAGTTCATTCAAGTTGCAAAAAAATTGCACCGTGTAACATAGCCTTAAATTCATTTTCAATACAAGTTTTATTCCAACAAACACAATATGAAAAAATTACGTGAAATAAATAAGTGTCAGGACAAGAAAACATCATTTTAGGTTGCATCCAGCTAGGCATGAAGAATCATAAAAACGAGCTGCACATACGTCATTGACCAATAAATTTGCTCCTTGAATACAATAACCTGCTTATAATGTATTTAAATTAAGCAGCTTTTTAACTACCAGTTTTTCGGATTTTTAACAAATCCGACTTATGTATTCACAAATATACCGACACTTTACGAAGGGGCGTGGCGACGGTGTGTGAGGGGAGGGTATGTGTGCAGTGGCGGATCTAGGGGTGCGCAGAATAAATTACACAGCTTAATTTTAAATTCCAGTCACCTTTTATACAGGGTGTCTCAAAAAAATGAAAACTATTGAAATCACTCATTGTTAAAATTTGAAAGCCGTGGAGATTTGATGCAACTCAGTAAAATGCTAAATGCTTTAGAGGAAGGGGACATGTCGAAGGTCATGGTGATTGAGATGCAAATTTAAATATTGTTAAATATCCATATTTGTAAATTGTAAATATTGTTAATAAATATCATTTTCGCGTACGAGCAAATTTTGCTGCATCAAATTTTTGCATAAAAATGCTTATGGCAAACATTTACACACCCGCGGGTCCCAACAGAGTGCTTAGGCATTCAAGGCATTTGAGACACCCTGTATATAAAATTACAACGCTATTAGTTACATATTTGAAAAGAATAGGGTGTACGTCTGTGCACTTCTTATTCTTTTTTCTACTCGTCCATAACTATTTCCATGTACAAAGTAAAGCAGGCGGAATAAACTACACGCCTTAATCTAAGTTAAAAATACCTTAAAAACATTGCTATTGTTCATGGATTTCCAAAGAATATTTTCAGTTAAATAAAAATCTACCAACGTGCTCGCGATGTTAAGCTGTATTAATTCACACGTTCACACAAGATTAACTAAATTAGAAAACCAATAAACAGCGGAATATTTACGATTTTCATACCGGTAAAAAACCGGTGCTAAGTTAATAAGTTAAGTGTGGCAATAAATAAATAAATAAATCAATAAGTTACGTGTTTGAGCAGGTGTAGTTTACCTTATGTCAAATAATCAATAAGTCGAGTGTCGCAGAGGTTTTAGGAATGTGTGCTTTCTGACTGTCAAACAGAGAGTTAGCACATTAGCAATGTTTTGGGTAAAACTAATGAAAACACTCCCAGTCAGAATGGTCATGGGCAACCTCGTACCCAGGGTAAAAAGACCCTGGGTACGAGGTTGGGTCATAAGCAGTCTGAGATCTACAACCATCAGCAAGATTTTTAAAAGCTAGGATCCTCTATATATGTGTAACTAACATTGTTTATATAATGATTGACTGGTGAACTACAAGTTTGCGGGAAGTTTTGTTCGCTTCGAGAGTTCTAGAGTTGCATCTTTAAAGTTGCGTCTATGAATAGAGGACGTTGTAGTTTGTTTCGCAGAAGAAATAGTGCAACCTGCTACAAAGTATGTCATGTAGATAACCGTCACCTAACATTGCCACACAATCCTCCGCGCCGCCGTCTGGCTGACCTTGTGCAAATCTGGCGTATGTAACAGGTGAGCCATCGGTCCAGACGTAGCTACCTTCTTGGTCGATGTCATTTAAACCAATGTATATGTACATTCCAGCTGAGAGAAACAATTTCAGTATGCTGTTATCAGTCAAAGGGCGTCAATTACGACGAAATGGAAGTCGGGATTTAGGTCTTTGTAAGAAGGAGTTCCACACCCGAGAAACTATTCGCAAGAACCATTGGAAAAAAATCACACTTACCGTTTACAAAAGTTTTGAAAAGAAACGTGTGTTCTTCATCGCTCGATATTGAAGCCAGGTCACCTTTTCTCGCACGGCAGGATTTCAATGCAACATTGAAACTGACTTCGGTAGCAAACAACGCAAAGTAACTTTGGTTGAAAGCATGCCATGATGTGATAGCTGAAAAGTAACATGCATTATACGTTACACGTATGAGCTGTAAAACGAGGTCTGGAAAATTTTTTTTCGTGATGATGGTAATTCGAGCCCCATTTTGAAGTCACAACGGAAAATATTGTGCATGACATGTATAAATCAGAAGATGTGTCCTGATTCCATCCGCAAATTAGCATGAGGAATTTTTCACGATGGCTATACTTATATGATGTATCAGTGAAGCTGTAGTTCTGTAAAACTCTGTTTCTCTTACCACTGCTGGTGGTAGCACATGCAGTCTCGCCATCTTTGCAAGGTTTCTGTTTTCCCTGAAATGCAAAAGAAACATAGCGTTTCCATGTTTTAGGGAAAGAGGGATTTTTGTGGCACTGAGACATCTGTACTAGGAATTGACAACATTACCACAAATTCGAGGTATTCTCCATTTGGATGTGGTACGAACTGCCCGGAGGTGGCATTATCCTTGAACCCCTTATTCAACTGGCATGTGAAGCTTCCGTCTGCGTTGGTCAACACATTCGAAGACAGACAGTTGACAGCAATGGCGCATCTCATTGAGCATTCTATGAACGAGGTCACACTCATTTCACCAACCACAAATCCGAGAAAAACGTAGCGAAGGACTTTCGTAAAAGACGCAGGCTTAGTACACAAACTGTTTTCATCTGTCTTTGAAGGTCGAATCGCTGTGCTTTGTAAAATCAGCAGAAAACAAAGCAGGATGCTGTCTTTAAATTTCATCTTCTAGAAATTAAAGCAAACAGTCATTATAAAAATGACACGCACCGTATGCAAATATATCTGCGGTATTTGCCAATCACGTGAATAATCATAACCTACTTCAAACAGACAGGCAATACTGACTTTTCATAGCAAACATCTGAATCTAACCGAAAATGCGACGTTTAAAGTTTCCATTTTTCTCTAATTTTCATGCATTTAAATTATCTATATTGTTCGATTATTTGGTTTATTTCGAATAATAATGGAGTATATTTAACAATTGTGTCTTTTGTTCTCGCTAAAACGTTAAAACAACGTGTCCGATGATCTCTATATATTACTGTGGTGTTCTCTATAAGTTATGCTAATAATATAAACTTGAATACTAATGAGTAATGTAATGAGTATAACTGTTAACTGTTAATGTTAACGTTGATGAGTGTAACTGTTAATGTTAACATATATAAGCTGTAGACAAAACAGTTACATATTCAAAGTGCTTTTATAATTGTCGTTTTTTATTCACTTGCTCTGAAGTCGTCCATATAATAATAATATTCATGACGTTTTGTACAACATGTTCATTAGTTCTCATACAAACTCTATAAAATAAGACAAAATCTATGCGGCTGAACCTTACAGCCAGCGCTGGTTTTACACGGTGGTAAATGCCACGGCCCCCGGGCCTTTTAGCGCCCCGCGATTTAGGCTAAATGTAAATAACGCTATGTTATTATATATTTATATAGCTAATAATAATATAGCTTATTTCTTTGACTTTTTTTGTATGTATAAAGTGAAAAGTGCCATACATTGCAAGCCAGTTCGTTCTAGGTATAGGTTTATGCTTGATAAATGTGCTTGATTGAAATATATATACACATGCAGTTGAATCAGTACTTCTATATAACTGCATTTTTAGGAACGCTACGTCGCTATAGAGGCCTCGCGAGAAAAAAAACGCGGGCCCCGGGGTGTCTAAATGCGGCCCTGCTTACAGCATTGACTGATTAAAATTGTGTGCCTTAATTCGACTGTTTCAGCCATTACAAAAACGAAAATTTGAGCTGAAGCCTTTGTGGTTTGTTCCTTCAGCATATATTATAATTAAGAGAAAGAAAAGTCGCGCTGCTTGAAACCTAGGGCTACGAGGGTCATTTTCATAAAGAGATATGCATACATCAACATGAAGGACAAAACTCACCCTGGCTTTGGTATTTCGTTAAAAGGCTTCCAATCGGCACGAAGTGTCCCAGTTGTTTTGTCGCAAAGCAATCAACAGTCAAGTCATGCTGGTGTTGTCCCCGTAATTGAAGAAACAGAATTAAGTGCATTTATTAATATTCATGAACATTTCAACGAAAAACTACGACGAAATTTAGGTCCATTTGAACTACAGCCAAGCTTTCAACTAGAAACGCATTACACATTAGAACTATTCAACTGTTTATGTAAGTCTATGGCATTTTTAGCTGTTTTATCCAGGCATGATGAGAAAATGACACAAACTTCTACAACCATACTAATGGCATTGGAAGTAATTCTACTATTTTCTAATAACCTGCTTAAAAGGTATTTAAATTAAGCAGCTTTGTGGCTACCTGTTTTTTGAATTGTCACTTCACACTTAAGTATTCACAACTATACTGACACTTCACGAAGGGGCGTGGTGATCGTGTGTGAGGGGGGGTTGCACGTTTTATTATATTTTCAACTCGTCCGTAACTATTTCTATGTTCAAAGTCAAGCATACAGAATATTTACGCTCTCCTAAGTTAAAAGTACTTTGGAAACATTGCTATTGATTACGGATTTCCAAAGAATATTTTAAAATAAGAATCTGCGAACGTGTTTGCGATTTTAAGCTGTATTAATTCAAACGTTCATATTAAATTAACAAAGTAAGTAATTTAGCTTGTAGGTACACCACGTAAGTATTTAATATTGAATACTAAATTTACATTAAATATTTAATACTAAAAACTAAATCAACTAAATTAGAAAACCAATAAACAGTGGAATATTCACGATTTTCATACGTAAAAACCGTTGCTATATAATACAAAGTTAAGTGTGGCAAAATTTTACATGGGTGCCTTCTGTCGAGCAGAGAGTCATTAAAGACATTAGCAATGTTTAGGGTAAAACTAATGAAAACGCTCTTAGTCAGAATGGTCATGAGCAACCTCGTACCCAGGGTAAAAAGACCCTGGGTACGATGTTGGGTCATGAGAAATCTGAAATCTGCAATCATCAGTAAGATTTTAAAAGCTAGGATCTTCTATGTATACATGTGTGTAACTAACATTGTTTATATAATGATTGACTGGTGAACTACACGTTTGCGTGACGTTTTGTTCGCTTCGAGAGTTCTAGAGTTGCATCTTTAAAGTTGCGTCTATGGATAGAGGACGTTGTAGTTTGTTTCGCAGAAGAAATAGTTTAACGTGCTACAAAGTATGTCATGTAGATAACCGTCATGTAACATTACCACACAATCTTCCGCGCCGCCGTTTGGCTGACCTTGTGCAAATCTGGCGTATGTAACAGGTGAGCCATCAGTCCAGACGTAGCTACCTTCTTGGTCGATGTCATTTAAACCAAGAAATGTGTACTTTCCACCTGAGAGAAATAATTTTAGTATGATGTTATCGGTCAAAGAGCGTCAATTACGACGAAATGGAAGTCGGGATTTAGGTCTTTGTATAAGAAGGAGTTCTACCCGAGAAATTATTCGCAAGAACTATTGGAAAAAAAGCATACTTAACCGTTTACAAATGTTTTGAAAAGGAACGTGCGCTCTTCATCGCTCGATATTGAAGCCAGGTCACCTTTTCTCGCACGGCAGGATTTCAATGCATCATTGAAATTGACTTCGGTAGCAACCAACGCAAAGTAACTTTGGTTGAAAGCATGCCATGATGTGATAGCTGAAAAGTAACATGCATTATACGTTACACGTGCGTTATACGTTACACGCATGGCGTTTAACGAGGTCTGGGAATTTTTTTTCGTGATGATGGTAATTTGAGCCCCTTTTTGAACTCACAACGGGAAACATTGTGCATTACAATGAGAAGATGTGCCCTGATTCCTTCCGCAAATTAGCACGAGGAATTTTTTCGAGTTCTTGCACTGATGCTTATGATGTATCAGTGAAGCTGTGGTTCTGTAAAACTCTGTTTCTCTTACCACTGCTGGTGGTAGCACATGCAGTCTCGCCATCTTTGCAAGGTTTCTGTTTTCCCTGAAATGCAAAAGAAACATAGCGTTTCCATGATTGAGTGAAAGAGGAATTTTTGTGGCACTGAGACATCAGTTCTAGGAATTGACGACATTACCACAAATTCGAGGTATTCTCCATTTGGGTGGGGTACGAACTGTCCTTGATCATTATCCTTGATCCCCTTATTCAATTGGCATGTGAAGCTTCCGTCTGCGTTGGTCAACATATTCGAAGACAGACAGTTGACAGCGATGGCGCATCTCATTGAGCATTCTAAGAACGAGGTCACACTCATTTCACCAACCACAAATCCGAGAAGAACGTAGCCAAGGACTTTCGTAAAAGACGCGGGCTTAGTACACAAACTGTTTTCATCTGTTTTTAAAGGTCGAATCTTTGTGCTTTGTAAAATCAGCAAAAAGCAAAGCAGGATGCTGCCTTTTAATTTCATCTTCTAAAAATTTAAGCAAACCGTCATGATAAAAACGACACGCACCACAACCAAACGGTGGTGCCAATCACGTCAATAATCATAGCCTACTTCTGAATCTAACAGATAGCAAACATCTGAATCTAACAATCGTTTAAAATTTCCATTTTTCTCTAATTTTCATGCATTTAAATTATCTATAGGTATAGACAAAACAGTCACATATTTAAAGTGCTTTTATAACTGTCGTTTTTTATTCACTTGCTCTGAAGTCGTCCATATAGAATAATAATAATAATAATAATAATAATAATAATAATAATGACGTTTTGTACATGTTCACTAGTTCTCATACAAACTTTATGAAATAAAACAAAATCTATGCGGCTGAAACTTACATCCAGCGTTGGTTTTACACAGTGGCAAATGCCACGGGCCCCGGGCCTTTTAGCGCCCCGCGATTTAGGCTAAATGTAAATAACGGAGGTTTAAAGGGTCTTAATTAATTTCGAGTGGAATTATACACACTTCAAATTCAAGCCATGAACAGTTGATGCAAAAATGAGTCAACTATAGGTCCTCCGGCAGGAAAATCGACCTACGCTTTTGCGATGCCGGTGCACTGATGCTCTTGCCAAATCAAAACTAAATCATAACTAAATGTAAATAACGCTATGTTATTATATATTTATATATAATAATATAGCTTAGCTCTTTGTTTGTATATATACAGTGAAAAGCGCCATACATTGCAAGCCAGTTTTTTTTAGGTAGGTTTATACTTAATAAATGTGCTAAAATCTGGTGTATAACGAGAATATTTTAAGTAATATCAGCTTTTTCAAATCAGTCGAATAGTATCGTAAAAGGCTCACTCGACATTTTTACTAAATTAATGAGCTTTTTACGGACTCCCAGCAAGCCCTCCGCGTTCGTATTTTACTTTTTCATTTTTTCATCAAGAGATATGCGTACATCAACATGAAGGACAAAACTCACCCTGGCTTTGGTATTTCGTTAAACGTTTACTTTCCTTCCAATCGGCACGAAGTGTCCCAGTTGTTTTGTCGGCGGTTCAAGTCAAGTCATGCTGGCGTTGTCCCCGTAATTGAAGAGACAAAATTAAGTGCATTTATTAATATTCATGAATGTTCATAAGTTCATACTGTTTATGCAAGTCTGTGGCATTTTTAGCTGTTTTATCCAGGCACGATGACATGCATAATGATACACTGAACTTTCACAACCGTACTAATGGCATTGGAAGTAATTCTACTATTTTTTAATAACCTGCTTAAAAGGTATTAGAATATCAAACTGCTTTTTAGCTAGCTGTTTTTCGAATGGTCACTTATCACACTTATATGTATCCACCCCTATATACCGACACTTCACGAACGGGCGTGGTGACCTGGTGTGTGCATGTGTTGGGTGGGTGTGCACTTTTTATTCTGATTTCAACTAGTCCAAAGCTATTTGTATGTACAAAGTAAAGCAGGCAGAATAAATACCACGCTTTAATCTATACTAAGTTAAAAATACTTTGGAAACATTGCTATTGATTACGGATTTTCAAAAAATATTTTTAAATAAAACCTGCAAACATGTTTGCGATTTTAAGCTGTATTAATTCACACGTTCATATATTAAATTAACTAAATTAAAAACCAAGAGAACAGCGGAATATTTACGATTTTCATACGTAAAAAAAACTCGGGATCCATTTTTTTACATTTTCTACCACTTGAAGCTTAGAACTTAAAGCTTAGAACCTAACTTTTTATAGCGAACATCTGATTCTAACGTAAAATGGAGTCGTTTAAAGTTTCCATTTTGCCTAAGTTAATCTTCATGCATTTAGCGACCTTTAATTACAGACGAGTTTGTTTCTTCGACATTTAATTACAGATTACTTCGTTGCTTCAAAATATATTATATTTGAAAAAAAAGAAAACTCGCCTTGCTTGAAACCTACGAAGGTCATTTTTATATGCAAAGAGGTCGATGTGCGTACCTGAATCTGAATTCAGTCGAAGGACACAAGTTTTGGCATTTCGTTAAATGTTTACTTTACTCCCAATCGACACGAAGTGTCTCAGCTGTTTGGTCGAGAAAACCGTAAAGCAATCAACTCATGCTGCTGTTTTGCAATCAACTCATATTGCATATCGTTGTACCCGTAATTACTGCGAGAGAATTAAGTGCATTTATTAATATTTATGTTTAATTTCAACAAAAAACTACGACGAAATTTAGGTCCATTTGAACTACAGCCGAGCTTTCGACTTTCGCATTATACATTAGAACTATTCATTGACAACTGTTTATGTAAGTCTGTGGCATTTTTAACTGTTTTATCCATGCAGGCATGATGACAAAATGACACAAACTTCCACAACCATACTAATAGTAATAGCATTGGAAGTAATTCTACTGTTTTTTAATAACCTGCTTGAAAGGTGTTTAAGTTAAGCTGCTTTTTAACTACCTGTTTCTCGAATTGTTAACTTATCACTTACTTATTCACAAATATACCGACACTTGTGGGGGTGTGCACTTATTTATCTTCTGCAAGTGTTTGTATATACACAGTAAAGCAGGCAGAATACATTACACGCCATAATCTAAGTTTAAAATACCTTGAAAACATTGCTATTGTTGATTCTGGAAATTTTCGAATCCTAAATTCGTAGTTTTCGAACAAAGCAAGTTCCTGATTAGTTAAAAGGTCTATGTATAAAAGTTTTTTTGCCATTTTTCATCTTGCTTCGTTCTCTAAAAATCGTAACTGGAATGAGCTGACCGCCATCTTCGAAAGATTTCGATACGCCCGTACGGGATGCCTTCAGTGGATGCCTCAGCCTAGTCCCTAGGCCTCTTAACGTTCCTTATACGCGGCGAGGCGGGAACTGAGAGGAACTCTCGCGCGCGTTTCATTCGGTGACGTCACGGAAATGTAAAACACGCGCAATGAGAGGCCTGGGGTTAGGCTGTGGATGCCTTGAACACAGAAGACCCTGGAAACGAGGTTGTCGATACGCATGAACTTTTAATCAGCTTTTAAATAAAACAAACCAGATTTTCACCAACATACTTCAAAGTGAGGTTTTTCAATTAGCCGTAAGCATTAGGTAAGCTATTTTCAAGAAACCACTTTTGAACACAAAACAAATTAAAACTGCAAAAAATTGATTTGATCTTTTATTTATGGCCACGCATTAGCGAAGGTGAACAACAGAAGTTACAAGAGATATCACAGAAAAACTACTACAGCTAAAATGAATAAATTACTAGAAGATTTGATCATTTAAAAACAAATAAATAAGACTGAACATGGCGTAAGACTATAGTATTCTTTATAAGTAACCTAATATGCCATCTACTGTATATATTATGCATGTTAATGATACTTTTGATACTTTTTCAAAAATTTTTAAAGACAATTTGATGGCCCTTTCCCTGCATATCATGATATAAATTTCTGGACAAAAAATACTATTTTTAGCTGAAAACTGATTTTTAGCTGAAAACTGTTCCTAGATATTTAATGGACAATTCCTCTATTATTAATTAATAAACTGAATTTAAAACTAAGAGTATTCATCAGTTCAGTTAATAAGAGCATCTCCAACTTAGTAAAACTTTAGTAGTAATGCTTTATACAAAATTTATACAATGCAAGATTTATACTCGCACTGCGATACAGTATTTTTCGCATTTTTCATCACTTTCAACATTTTACCAATTTTGAGATGCTCTTTCCAGCTACCCGTCTCTTAACTGATGAATTTTTCAAGTTCGGTATTTAGTTTAATAGGAAAATGGTTCATTATTTGCTTCGTTTGTATATCACGTAGTAGAAGTTCATTTTCTCTATGTAATTTCTGTATTAATATTGCTTTGTGTGGTCAGTTTATCTGTCTTCAGTTAATCACTGCACTCAATAGATAGTCAATGTTTATATATTTTTATTATATAGTTATGCCGTTTGCCACTGTTCCAAGAAACGATCTCTCACTGCATCCAGGAAATCTGTAGTGTTGAGGTAATGTTCACGTTTTACGCTAAAAGTGAAATAGAGAGCTGTTATCGCAGTGTATGCTAATTATCTGCATGATTTGCCCAGTTGGCGCTAATAGAAGTTATAGATATGACAGACTCCGAGACTATAAACGACACTGACTAGCGATTACAGTTTCAATTGATGAAAATATTTCAATAGAGGTACCACAAAAACGTAGTACCTACATGCCGCCTTGTGTATTTTCTTTATCAAAGAGCGCAGTATGATACTGGACACAAATACTTTTATAGGCTACTAAACTAAGGGTGTATTAAAACCATTTATGTACTTACTTTGGAAGTCCATAAATGCACGCGGCCAGATCTTTCGTCATCTGACCGTTGTCCACACAATCTACACAAGCTTTCTCGAGGAGAGTGCTGAATCTAATGCAACCATAATGAAAACAAGTTAATCTAGTGTTTAAGCAAATGACATGCTCTGATAGGAGCTAATAGCTAGATCTTGAGTATAGATTCATAGTTTCGAAAGTAAATGGACTAAATACGACATACCTTTGAAGATCATCATTTCCATCAAGTTTCGCTCGATGAGCTAAGCCTTGGGTCCATGCATAAATACTTGCAATTGGGTTCGTACTTGTTTCGTTACCCTGCAAGACAATAGAAACATGTTAAAGCAAGCTATGTCGAAAATGTTCTTGATCCAAGGACCAAGTGTCAATTGTTTCATGATTCATGATATAGCACAAAAAAATTACTGTTATTATTGAATATGTTTGCTTCTGTTTTCTTGTACATAAACAACCAAGTCGATGTAACACACCAGCAAATTGCTGGTTATTTATTTCCCAATCTTACCTTTTGATGCTCTCTGTAATGTCTTGTGACAGTCCCATGAGCTGCCTCAGCTTCAATGGTCTTACCATCAGCACATACCAAGACACTGGTCATTAAACCAAGTGAACCATAGCCTAATATATCACAAGAGCTTAGTTTCGGGTACTGACTACAGTGACTATTGTAAGTAATTGCGAACATGCGAAACAGAGGTCTGAAGTAGGGTGGGGAGAGGGTCACATTAGTCTATTTTTTCCTCTATTGAAGGGCTCAGTGCAGCAGATAAGTGGTTTTACAAACTTACCCTGGGCAAGTGTATCAGACTGCACATCACCATCATAATTCTTGGCTGCCCAAACAAATCCACCAGGTGATTTCATTGCATAAGCCACCTTAATAGAAACAGGATTAATCATTTAATAATTATTAAACACAACTAAATTTAGTCATTTTTACACAAAAATACAGTAAAATTAAATTATTTTAATCAAGAGAATGCACAGCACTCTTAATCAACTTGTTTGGATAAAACACACATACCATGTCATCAATTAATCTGTGCTCGTACCAAATATTAGCTTTGTCAAATTTGGCCTTATATTCACTGAAAAGATAAGGCCATTAGTACAGCTGTTGACTATTATGTACACGTCAATCCACAAGCAGCCCGTTCACTGGTGTTACGTCATGCTATTATATATATACATATATCATAGCATGACGTAACACCAGTGACCGGGCTGCCTGTGGTCAATCCTTTCATTTCTCACTCATTGAGTTCACCGAACTTGTAGTGAAAGAATCTTACTCTTCATAAATTTCTTCAAACAAATCTTTGAATCTGCCATCGTATCGTTTCAAAATCGTATTCTTGGTGCTCATGTAGAGAGGCCACTTCTTGAGCAGGGAATACTGGAAACAGCTGTGCGCAAAATCTCGGATCGCCTAAAAACAAACGAATTAACATTTTGCATCCGCACATAAATCACAAATTTGTGAAGCCTTCATAGTATGAATACATGTACGTAGACTTGCTGTTTCAAAACAACAGATGGCGATTTTTGAAATCCTGGTGAAATGATCAAAACCATTACTTTCTTCTCATGTTACAAGTATGTAACCCTATACTTTACCTCATCAGTATTGTACATGCCCATCATAACACCACCTTCTCCAGTGAAATCATACACCACTGTTGTCTTTTTATCACCATTTTCAGGCTCAAAAGCAATTGTGAATTTTCCTGGACCTCGCACCACATAATCAGTTGCTCTATACTGAATAGGCGAAAATATTGCGTGTTATTATGTGTTAAATACCTCCAAGGAAAATGCACTGACTATGTAGTGAAAATGATAATACACTTAGGTCTAAATACCATCTCAATATTGATTCTAACCCTCATTTATACAAAACTATATATCTTAACCCCAAGCTGTGTTATTCCTAACCTTTATCTAAACTAATCTAAACCCTAATAATAATCTCAATCCAAACCCCAATAGTAACTCTCATGGTACCAGCATGTACCACAGTACAAACTAAAGGCCATATTCTGTGAATTTGCTGTAGTCTCCCCATACACAAGTTTTTAAAACCATGTTGCAATTGAATAGCTGATTCACAAATGTTTGGTTAATTTCTTGGTAACACTTACTGTAGTTACCAAGCATGTATTATGGAGATTATATTGGTAGGATTAAATGCAAATTAGCAGAAAGGAGAACTACGTCTACACATATGATGCTGGGCTACAGTGGTACATTTCCAAAGGTAACTGAATAATTGATAGATATGTGCATTGCATATATGTCAATTTTTGAAAGTCTTTGACAAAGAAATAATGGGATAGTGAGATTCTCTCTGGTCACATGTTCTGGTCACACATGTGACAATGCTATTCTATTTTGTTGTAACATGCAAAATATGAAGCCTCAATTAAGAAACAGCAATGTCACCTGTGTAACCAAAGAATCGCCCGATAGACTTCAGAAATGAGGAATTATTAATACACATAGTCTGCTCAGAAAGATTTGCAATTAACTGCACACAACTTTCTATGTTTGATTAAGCAAATTACGCTTGCTTAGCTTTGCTATTCATGTTAGGATTGTAACTACCTGGTCACCAAAAGCATGACGGCCAATTACAATAGGCTTCTCCCAACCAGGAACCAATCGTGGAATGTTCTGACAAATGATTGGTTCACGGAACACAGTACCACCAAGGATGTTTCTGATTGTGCCATTTGGACTTCTCCACATCTTTTTCAACTGAAACTCTATATACACAAGCTTAGTTTGAAAAAATCCATCTCCTTTAAATACCTTATATATTTTAATTCAATTAGCCATTTCCCAATCGAGCAGAATACTGGGTCTATTCGCGAACCGCAAAGCATTTATGTACTGTTTGGAAGGACAGAAAATATCAGTTTGAAATCATTTGTCCCTCCAAATAGTCCATAGATGCTTTGCGGTTCGCGACTAGACCCAGTACCCTGCTCGATTAGGAAATGGCTAATACACCAGCACCATTCTCTTACTGCAAACCTATGTACCTTTTACTCTTGCTTCATCTGGAGTGATTGTAGCACACTTAATGCCAACATTATATTTCTTGATGGCTTCGGCAGCTTCCACTGTGACACGGTCACCTGTTTCATCACGATATGGTAAACCAAGATCATAATATTTGATATCCAAATCCATGTAGGGCAGGATAAGCTGTGACAAATGAAATTAACATTGTAGATTGAGCATTTAAATCTTGTAAAATCATAAAATAAAGAAGTTATGTGCAATAATTTAAGGTGCTATGTACAGAGTTGTTGGGCAGTTTGAATTTCATGCTAACAATATATATATATATACATGGCACACATGAGGGACATGTCACAGCTCTCGGAAGCTTTCATCCAATTATATAATGCTTTTCTATGCTTTCTAAAGAACGAAACTATGCTATTAGTTAAAAACAGAAATGTATTGTAAGGTTCAGCCAATGTAAATCATTCTTGCGAGGAGCTGGGACACTACCCAAACATGACAGCAATATTTAACCACATAAGCAGCCTATGAAATCATTTATGTAGCCTTCAGGCAGACATTGTTAATCTAGGCCAGAAAAGCCTCAATAGTGACAGGTAAGTGAGGATTGTTAGCTTGACAGAAGATACAAAAAGAGCACACAAATATTAAACAAAGTAGCTTGAACCTGTTACCAAAACTTTTTTTAAGACAGTGTACTCATCTTAATCACCACCGATAAGCAAATGATCTAAACCTTACCTATGAGTTCTAGAATCGTAATTCTAGTTCTTACAACTTACAAGTAGAAACGAGCTCTTACATTTATTAACTACAGGTTTAAATTTTTCAATTTCCTTTTTAAGATAAAGCTGCAATATTAATAAATATCTTCCCCGTTTGAGTCTTGCGAAATCAAATATAAACCTGAAATAAGTCATTTTACAACCCCTAGATCGCGTGACAGACGATAGCGTTCCGTGATTATTTTTGTTCATAGAACGATAAAATTGCAACTTAGAAATTGACAATGAAAATATATACAAGGTCACAAGGACACGTATAATTACCGAAAGTCCAAACATAAACTTGTAAACTATTAAAATTATTGCTTTAATATTACTACCTTTTCCTTGATTTTTTCCCAAATGATTCTTGTCATTTCATCTCCATCTAATTCGACAACAGATCCCTCGACTTTGATTTTTTCTCCAATCGAATCTACGAACACGTGCGACAAAATGTGTCAAGATAGACGCGCCGGTTCATAATAGACTTCGATCATTATAGAGCCTAAAACTTCAAACTTACAATTCCTTTTTTGCAACGAATGCGCGGACAACGAGCTTAGAACATAAGGAGATGTCGCTCTTGTTTGTAAGCTTCTCAGAGCTGATTTCACCAAGGTTTTTGGGAATCGTTGTAATGCTGCCATTCTGAAGTTCCGGACGTTCGAGAGGCGAAAAGAACAAGGGCAAGGTCTGAGTCTGAAGGTCACGCGGAGGATATCTAAGGACTTCCTGGAATTATGGGGGATGATTGTGATGTACGTTGTACATAAAGGGACAACCGTGGATATTCGCACATAGCAATTGATATTTAATGTATTTGATTGCTAGATGTGAGCAGATGTGGTTCGATGTCCTTCAATGTTCTTTGTTATCACATGAAATCTCGTCTTACCCATAAATCACCTATTTGTCCTTTGTCCAAGCCATCACTGATCTCAATACATCGCGAAAATACTACTTCTATCAGAAAGAACGCCTAGCTGACAGGGTCTTTTTTTAACTATGATTTTTTTAGTATGGGTTTTGCGACTGCAGCTTTCTGTAGGACAAATGTTTTGAGAAATTCTTTCGTCAATGCCTCGAGATAAAGCAAAGACGTTTTGCCTCATGTTACTTGTAGATTACACGTATTCTGTTTGTAGGCTTGTAGCTATCAAGCTATAAGTTTGTAGGCTTATGGCAACTAAGCAAAAATACAGCAGGATTTAATCATTCCGTGTTGGGAAAAACTAAAGTGTAGTATCTCAATGCCAATGGCAATAACAACGATTGTCTTTCTCGGGAGTTTTAAACAACAAAACCTGATCAATGCACCTACTGACTGCTGCCTCGTGCATATAACATTGTAACTGCGAATATATTGATAAGTTATGAAGTATACTGCGGCTGACAACAACAATAAACCCTCTTGGAGGTTGAAAACTAACGGAAGTTGTTAGCACGATAAAAGAATACATACGTCTGCTCAGGAAATGCGACATTACAATTAAATATATCGAACAAACTAATGAGATTTATTACGAGGATGCAAACAACTCCAGTTTCAACTGATTTCTGCCCAAATTGTCGATGGCAAGCTCAGCCGTAACCTGAAATCAGTTTAAGAGGTAATAATTTGGCCCTAAACGCTTAAAGTGTTAGCGCAAAGCTCGCTGTAAAAGTGATAAATATAGAAAGAATTATTAAATGTGATGTTAGGGTAGATTTGTAATAAAGACCAACAATGACGTCTTGCCGCGAAAATTCACATGTGTATTTCATTCATTGAAATTCAATGATTGAAACGACATTGTTTAGCTTGTCATTTGAAAATCGATGTGCATTGAAGAACCGATGATAATAAAGCTGTGATCGCTGGGGTCATTATTAATAAAGGCAAAAATCTGAAACGATCATTTGTTCCTAAAAAACGAACAATATGCTGTGTTGAGACAAAGGTTTAAAATTCACAGACAATCGAATGAGTCAGCCGTAATTTTCACTTGCCGAAATTCCCTCCCATTTCTAATCCAAATTGATGACATCAAGTATCTTTTTAACACCACTTATAATGAATTCGCTAGTTAGCAAAATAATAGGGTTTTAAGGAAATAATTATAGATATTGAAATTTAATAGGTATACGCCTAATTACAGGCTTTCCAATATCAATTATATGTTGCCGTAAATATCGGCTATATTGCTGCATAATAAATATGTACTTCAGAAATCAGAATCTGTGGTTCCAGTTATATACGTGTTTTATATATATTTAAAAACTCTCCAGTGATAAATTAAATGAATCATTTAGGGTATGCATGTTTATGAAAGTTATACTATAGTTGTCGATTAGTTTGCCATGCTGGCATTAATATAACCATTAAGATTTTTAAATATTATGGACATTCATTGATATGCAGTATTCATACATCAATTTTGTATTAGAAGACAAAGTTATTTTAGTTAAAATTTTCAAAGTTAAAATGGAAATCAGAATTGGGCAAATTACTCATATGAACATTGACTTACGTGTTTTAGTGTGACGCAACAAACCTGATTACTATTGACAACGAAGCTGTTTACACCAGCAATTATTCTAGCTGATATACAGAATAGAATTACAGATTATATCAGTTAGACAAAGAGTTTAGTTACAGATTTATCTCTGATAGTATTTATTTATAAAGCATAAGTTATTTTAACAGGATGTGCCGAAGATAAAGGGATTATCGTTTAGAATTATCTGCACTGCCCCACCTTCGTCTTTCAAAAGGCACGCCTTTCATGAAAATTTGCCAAGTTTTCATTAATTTATTATAAGCGAGAGATTATATTATAAGGCAGAGATTGTATCATCATATTGCCATGGAAAAATATTAATTTAAATTAATAACTAGAATAAAATAGTCTATTATATATCTGAACAAAATCATGATGTGTGATGATAAGTTTGAACTTATACATTTTAAAAGAACTGATCAGTATACTGGAAAATCTATATTATGATCATGAAGGCAAAATTCAAAGAAATGCATGTTCTTTCCAAGCGAATTGCACGTGAGCTGCTTCATAATTATACTGATGTACGCCATGATCGAAAGCATTTGCGTTTACTAAATGTAACATACTTATAACTATGAGCTTGTATTCTTGAAAAATGAAAAGAGTCGCTTGTATTATCGGGGAAAATAAGATTATTCTATTCATTCAAGTTTTATTTTCCATGCATTTACAAAATAATTACACATTTTTCAGACGGGCGCACTACACGCACGGAAATTTTTAAATACTTTTCAATATCGTTATTAGAATAATCATCAAATATCTATTCTGGGTCAAATTATGCATACAAAAATATGCGGAGAAGTAGTTTCTTTCCAATTTATTCAATTTTCGGTTTCGGTCAACGGTTTTCTCAAAAGTAACATATATTTAAGAATTTGGACTTTTACACGCGTGAAAAACGCAGCCCTATACGCATTGAATTCATCCCAGATGAATAGGTTCGCAACAGAGCTCAATTTTCTCATGGTAAATGGAGTGTTTATGTGAGAAGGTTGCCAACGCGTGATTCATTCTAATGATTACGTCATGATCATGAATACCAGAGTCTTTATTCGCGCGAACAATGGTTTGACATTTGGTGATGCATGCATGGTACACGTGTTTTTAACTTTTTAAGAGTCGCTGAATAATCTGTGGATATCACGTTTGGCGTGTAAAGATTTAGTCAGAAACATTACCTTGCGTAAAAGCTACAAATTTCCCCCAAACCTGATCAATTTATCAAATATAATTCAGTAATTCTCAAGAATAAATAGCTGTGGTATACTATGGGCGTATAGCTGCTGAAATTAGGAGACAACGCGTTACCTGTGCGTATACCATGATCTTCTCAATATTAACAAATGATATCGAGGGAAATGAATGGAAGAACCTTAGAGAATATATACGAAAAACACGGTATAGAGAATGCTTGCCTGAATAATGATAGCTATTTTCAAAGAATTGTTCCATTGGTGTTGAATTAAAAGTTGCACTTTATAGTTCATACTTGAAGCATTCTGTCTTGAATTCATGCAACTTCTAACAAGGAAAGAGAAAAGTCGGTTCCACTATTTCGAATATATAGTTTCAGATGGGCTATAAATTCATTGGTTAGGTTTAGGCGCGTGGTGTAGCGGTTTAAAATTTTATACGTATAATTTTCTATATACAAAACGCTTGCATAAATGAAATATGAATGTAGCTAATAATGTTTCAAACTAAAAGAATTTATCTTGCTTTAAACGCTTTATCGTGTCTCTATCATGTATATTCTCAAGACCATAACATTAACATTATCATTCTTGAACAATTATATATTTGGCCTATTTACGCAAAATCATTATTGGCGAAATCAGTTGCAAGTGACAATGTGCAATTTTAATAACTGGACAAGTTTCCTCAGCGCTGATACGACATTCGTCACTGTTACCGTAGCAACGAGCTTTCGGGATATTGGCCGTTGAAGTTCAAGGTTAAATATGGTATAATCGTAAGGACAGTTGAAAGTGACAACAACATGTTTAAGGAGTTTAATGGGGTAACTGCAATCCTCTTGCGAGACCAGGATAAATATCTCTTTTAAGCATCGTCCTGCTGTGTCCTGTCTCGGGTTTGCGAGCTTTTTGTGCGAGTTTTCGAGGCCTGTGGTTTGCGTCTTAGAGAGCAAACAATATTTAAACAAAACATTGTGTGTGGGTCCGTAGATTGGCTGGCAAATTTTGTTGCTATATTCGTAAGACACCTCGCGAATGTTCTCCAGCTCATTGTCCATCCCCCGTGGGTGTCCTGTGCTGTTTTTGCGTTATACTTCACAAGGGGTTAAGGTGACCGAAGATTGTTTGGGTTCATTTTGCCTCGTGATAGTTTTGTTAGAGAATGTAACAGCATGCAGGAAAGTGCTTATTTGGTTCTTGTAGTAGAAGAGGAAACCGGAACAGCGGGACTTTGGTATTATCATATTAATAGCGAGCTATTTTATAACCTTCCTGAACTCCACTGGTTGCCATATTTCTGATCTGGCGTACGATTTTCGCGATCTGAGAAACCCCTCTCCACTTTCCTCGCGCGTGGTCCAAATCCAACAACGACCTAGGGTGAACAAGGGGGTCTCATCCTTCCTGAAAGCAGCCGAACTCAGCGAGTTTATGAAACATGGCCGAACGTATTCCCTTCGCTTCGCGAGAGATCAACTGCGGAGTTCGCCCATCGAGACTCCCGCTGAAAAAGACAAAACAAATCTTAAAGATTTGATTAAAAATGACAAATACCACGAACACGAAAGCGTTTATTTCTGACCAAACGAGTACAGAATGTCCATCGAATCGACTACGACCGACGCAAAACAGCTCGCGGATCGCAAAAACATGAACGTAACGAGTTTGAGGGGCTTATCTAGGGCATTAGACATAAGATTAAACAAAATATGAAACATTAATATATCATTCTCTCCCAGGGTGCGACTAATATTTGCAAACGTTTGCGTGGTAAGGGGAAAACTTTAACGGTAAAAACAAGCTGAGTGATATTATATATACACATAATGAAACATAAGTTTACACTACACCAGCTTCGTGATATCAATACAATTGTGCAGGCGCAGGACATACCAGAAATGTCACTGCAGCCAGAACTATATTTTGAGACAGGTTATTGTTGGTTTATAGTCAATTATTGACCAAAAAATATTACATTTTATTACCTTGATGTCATTTATTGTAGTCCTCAAGAAATGTTATATAGTTATGCATTAATAACTTCAGTTACTCGTTGTAAATCGTGCTTGGTTGATGTTATTGTAGTTTTCTAATGTGCTGTAGTGAATCTTTTAAAATTCATAAGATCTTCAAAAGCGTGACGCGATTACGTCTTCAAAAGCCGTCAGGTCATTTTGGAACGCTCTATACAAATCAATCAAATTGTCCCCCGTCACAAGTAACTTGGCCTAAATTTCAAACTTCCCCAAACTGTCAAGTTTTTAACGTATATTCCTAGAACATTTTGTGTGCTACAGGTTGTTAAACTAAAAGTTCAATATATTCTAAGTTTGGATGCATTTCAGTCATTCGTCACTCCATTTTTAATATTATTAAACCTATACGAAAGCTTTCCTTGAAAGTGAAGCGACGTCCTCTTAAGTTTTGATGTGAAAAAGCTGTTTATATTGCCTTTGCATGATTAGGGATCCATCCCTCAGCGCTTGTCTGAAAACCGAAACACGTTTCGTGTGCTTCATCCGATCTCTCGACCGGCAGAACCCAGGAGATAAGAGCTATTTTCTTGCCAGACAAGTTCGGCTTTTGAATGACATGTGAATTTATGGGTGGACAAGCGATAATTCGCCACAGTATTTGCTAATTCATTGATCAAAATGCTAATCATGATCATTTGAAGTGGAACAATAGCAGCTTCCTCTCCCCGTTGATGAGCAAACAAAAACGTATTTAGCCAGCAATACAGGATATAATTGAGTGCAAACTGTCTTGGGGGGACGGGCTGCTATCATAATGAAATGAGACAGTCGTGCTAGCGGGGTCGCTATGACCAATGAACTGCGTCGAAAATTCCGAAATATTTTCAAAAAAAAGCGAAGAACCAGTACGATTTCAGGGCGTTCAGCGCTTTGCCTGGTCGAGATAAGATTGATTTTATTCATTCAGGCGATATTGTAGCGTTGTCCTTGTTACTCATTACAAGTACTTTAAGGAGGGGCTTACTCTACAAATGACTAATTCCATTGTGCGTTGTAGTGTTCGATGAGCGCGCGAGACAAAAAGCTCGGCCTGAGAAATTGATTAACGAGACTGGCTCGTTTACACCTGTAGTGCAAAATAGCCATAATTGTTTGTGCACATGCTATTCTGAGTGCGGGGCGAGAGCTCAGCACGAGGGCTCGTAGATTAAAACACAGGCACTCCGAGAAGGCCTGGCTTATACAACATTAACAACGCGAGAGGTCACATCTCGTCGCTAGTACCCTAACTATAAGCACAATTTCATTCGAGCCTCTTCAGCAATTTGGTGTGCGCTTCGTATCGATATCCGAGATGGCCTTTCCGATACCTCAGACGACCAGGGAATGTACTCAGTTCAATGTACACTCTCTGATTGGTGACTCAACGCTCAAGTACAAAACCAGCGAGAGATCGCAGGACTTTCAACAAAATCCCTCGACGCTTCCGCGACTGGATCGTCACGGGCATCATCAGACGAGCTCGACACAACAGAGTTACGCGGTTTTGGGAGCAGGCAGCGACGCAAACGACTCGTTGAACGTGGATCCCGATTCCGGCAAGAACAAAACCTCACAAAAGAAATCGAGACGTCGCCCTCCGTATTCCTACATCGCTTTGATAGCCATGTCGATCCAGCAATCCTCGGAAAAACGGCTGACCCTTGACGGAATCTGTAAGTTCATTCGGGATAAGTTCCCTTTCTATCGCGAAACCTATCCGGCCTGGAAAATTTGTATTCGGAATAATCTCTCCTTGAACGACTGCTTTGTTAAGACGGGAATCAAATCGGACGAGCCGCTGAAAGGGAACTACTGGACGCTCGACCCGGAGAGTTATAACATGTTCGAAAACGGCAGCTTCCTGCGAAGAAAAACTCGCTTCAAACGGCAGGAACGTGTACGAGAAGAGCATGCAAGCAAGTCATGTTTACGGGAAACGCCTGGGTATCCGGCAAGTCCACTGCTGTACAACGACTTGAACATGAGACTCAATAGTAACTTTGTTTTGCCGAGTTGTTCTGGCCTTAATTATATCGATACGCCAAAGATCTCGACCACAATGTCAAGTCCTTATCTCCCTTGGCCAAATCCTTACATATCTTCGCCGGCAAGAGACACGAGTCTACAATGGCCTTCGTCTTATTCCTCGTTTTTACCACCTTATTACAACCATTTGAACTCTTGTACGCCTTGTTCGTGCAATGTTTGCGATTCCTCAAAAAACCTCTATCTCAGACTCTCAAATTGACCTTCAAGATGCCTTACGAATTGAGTTCGATATACGTGTAAAATGCGAACTAATATGTACAGTTAAATTAAAGAATATCTAAGACTAAGTAAACATTTGGATTAAAAATCACTACCTTAATCTATTCAGTTTAAAATGCAACAAAGAACTTTAATTGCTATCTATAAAATAGTGGAAAGCAAAGGGCAATCCTCTGCGATAAGATCTGCTTTATCGACTGAAGGAAGCTAGGAACGGTTATACCTGACGTGTGTAATATTCATTAATCATTACACCGAGATATTTGCGGGAATTTCAACTGTTTGTAAATAGAGCGAAGATTAATGTTGACCTACGGTGTATATATATGAGAATATTTATTGTAAATAAAAGCAAATTTAAACCTGTCAAAGTGCTCTAAATGTTTGTTTTAGATCCAGAAACATTTTAATGAGGCAAATGAGCTAAAATAATGAAAGTTTTGGCAAGATGTTACCGGCTTGCATGTGAGAACAGAGGGTGGCTAGTCTATATTTTGGCCAAGCGTATGCAGCTGACATAAACTAAGTGATTTCGCGTAGCCTAAACAAAATAAAGTTTGTACTAATTGAACAGATATTTGCACGTTGGCCATCCATTGACCCTGACATTCAAACAATTTGACCGTATGTTTCGGATTAGATGGAAATAGTGCTGTGCACTTGGTGTTTTTCGTTTAAACATTTAGCATGATTTAGCAAGATGGCTTATACTTAACGGCGCAGCAAAATAAAACACTCTCTCGCGCACAGAAAGGAGATTTTTTTTTCCATTCTTTGGAAAAAAACGACACGATATATAGAACGATAAAGAAATTCTTTTTATCATAAACCTGAAGACTGTGGCTATACATATAGAATAGATAGCGAAATCAACTCAGTGTTCCGTCATAGAGTATTTCTAATGATATATCTCAAAATTTTGAATTCCGATTTTATTTCTTCCTCAACTTTGTAAAAGTATAGGACAGGTTCTGAAGGTACACTAAAATCAAATGCTTCTGACCAGAATCAAACGAAAGTGAACTGATCTCTCGATCCGGCGTTTCTATTAGTTCATTGTGTTTTAAGGCCGACTATAGCCGACCGGCGTTGTCAGTCAAAATCGTCGATGAAGACCAAATACATAGAGCTATTAAGTTGTATTAGTCAAAGTCTAATTGATGCTTGACGCGATCACCGTGTGATCAAATATCTAAACATAATTTTATAGTGCGGTAAACCATGTATAGTCTAGTCCAGTGTACGCTAGCCCGATCAAATGATTGCCGAATTCCTGGTCGGCGAGACAAATGTCACGATTCTTGAACTTCCCTAGTCATACGGCATTATATTTCGGTTATTTTGTATGCTCAGGTTCGTATTTTGATGACATTACTCGTTGATAAACTTTGCCTTTGGGCCAGTTCGGTGCTCGCTATATATATCCTAGCCAAAACCTAAACGTCAAAGCCAGTGAATTGATTCGAATCTGTGGTATTCACAATTGCGTATTCATTAGTAAAACAGAACCGCTTGTCACGTCAGCTTCATGCAACGCGCCGAGGAGATTTAGATGACGAAATTAGTGATATTTAATCCGTCTGGCAACAGAGCCATACTACTCCTTATACTAAGCTGTAGCCAGCGAAACGTAGGCAGGGTAAACTTGGTGAAATACGAAGAGGCATTGTACTTAAAATTTGCAACACTATGATACCACTGAACGCCAAGAATTGCATGGAAAAGTTGATAAAATACCGAATACCTTGTTTTAGAATTTGCGGTCGACGAAAACGATTGGCGCTATCGTCATCGATATTTAGGTTTCACGAAATATATTCTCGCGAATTGCTCTGGTAACAGATGCAAGCGTACTCGGCATATGTGATTCAAACTGGTGTTGTATTATACTCTAAAGGCTGCCTGTATAATCTCTCTTTAACGAAGCAAATGGCGCACAGCGACCGAAAATATAGTCCTCACATGCACAAGGATTCTTTGTAAAAACATCGCATGCAACTCAGACTTGTACACCAATTTGTGATCGTTTCTTGCATCAAAATATATACATGTTTCTGCCACCGCGGCTCTGAATGCGTCGAATATTACGAGAGCTTTGTGTATACTTCACTACTATAGAAAACACGCTTCGTAAACCTGCCGAATGGACAAAATGAAACTGGATAAAGTTGGTTTCAGGAGAGGTGGCGTGTACGAAAAGCAATGCCGAGAATCGTATACGCAATTTGTTAATGTATCGATCGATGTTTGCTTTGCAAAAGACTGTTAGTTTTTTAAATTAAGACGAGAGCAAAAAGCCACCTTCGCGATCTTTTGTCTCGCAATTCTATGGGCCATTTCCGTCGCATTCCGCCATGCTCCGAGTGCGTTTCCTGTGTCCTTTGTCGCGGCAATTCGTGCTCGTTTGAAGAATCTTGATGGGACTTGCGTAGATCGATGTCAGTGACTGATCATACGCGGTACTTGCTCTGTCAGAAACATAATGAAACTCACAGGACATTATCCCGCCTATTTTTCTTACTGCCCTCTGCATGAGCTATACAAAACAGCGTGCACAAGGCTTCTTTTGAGGCAGTTTTGATCATCAGTTTTGCGTGCAAAAAGTCACCGGGAAAGCATTTTTTTCATAGGGCAGTATGCTAGAACCCATAGTATTTTTGCATGTTCGGTATAAGACTTTATTATAGACAATTTTCATTTAAATCGATTTTATATACGGTGTTGCTTTATTTATTTTAAACACAATTACAGTCAAAATGTGTGCAAGACAAATCGTGTAAACCTCTTAAACCCTCAAAATAGAGTTCGTTCGATTTATATGAGTGCCGACGAGGGTTTGGAAATTCGTGTAGCTATCGCAAGGCTATGACAATTTATATATAGTAAGTCTAATTACTTAATTAAAAGTTGATGTGATCTGAAGTCTAACTGGACATCTTTTATATAGGGCTAATTCTAGTTGAAGTAACGTAAGTTTCTAAAATCACGCCCAAATTAAATGGTAAATGTAATTTACATTGCGGGCAAAAAGAAATACTATATACCTTGTATATTATACACACGATCTAAATTTATTAGACTACTATACAAAGCTAGCTATGTACGGATTCAAATTTGGAATCTTGTTTCTGTTGACAAGATAGTCATTAGTATGTGGTGCATTCACATCTGATGAATTCTAGAATTCGTAGACTTGCCAAATAAACAACTGATGAATTAGAGTTCATAGACTTGCAATGCATTTCTCATAACATCTTTTCAAAATAATGGCTTTAAATACAAAGTCTGTAAATATGGCTTACTCCTCAATAAAGGGTATTTGCCTAAAAGGGTTTTGCCCGTTCGAGGACGAGGACGCTGCTACTAAAATATAACTTTTTCACTTTTGTTCAGGACAGTATGGGGTACTGCTATACAGCAATTAGGAACACAAGCGTGGCCAAAACTAATGGCCACCTTGTACTAAAACTATAATAGTCCTTGGAAAATGTGCTATAACAACTTAAATAAACAAAAAAAAAACTTTTTTAAAGTTTTTTGGAACTGGTCCTTGGTAGGATCTTATTTAAAAGATCTTCATCGCTGCTCTTTATTAAGTTTATTTATTTTTAAACGTCAAAGCTACACGTACGTTTATAATGGAATATGATATTCCGTTTAACAGGTCAGCGCTTTTTGAATGAATTCATTGATCAAATTCAGTGTGGCTTATAGTAAAGCCAAAAGTATACAAAAAAAACGACGGCCTTAATATTAATATCCGAAGGTCGAGAATTATTTCTGCAAATGGCTTCACTCAAACTCGATGCCTATTTTTCTCTAATTTTCTTTTGCAATCTCATTGCGTGGTTTGAACCCATAGCAGAAAAATTGATCATCTGCACTTAATTCCTATAACAAGCCAAATATGACTTTGAGCTATTTGACTATGCTTGCGTCCAAAAAACCGTATGTTTTTTTTTGCAATCAATGTACCAGTTAATATAAGTTGTGTCTGTGTAGCAACGTTAACAAAGTGCAGAATATGAATTCAAACCAGTTTCTCTAATATTGGAATTTGGAATGGTTAAATTTAATCTTGAGATGCAACATGGGGCTTTGGCTGCAAGCCGAATAGCAGAAATTCAATTCAAAGTTGTACAACTTGCAAGTTGATCGTCTTAGATATAGCTTTTTGCTACAACGCTCTCCCCCGCCCAATTTTTCCGTTCTATTTTCAAACGCAGAACGGAGTTAATTGGCTTTTCATAATTAATGCAATTTTGTCTAAATTGGAAAAACAAACTTTCTCGCGAGATTCATAAGTTTTCATTTATTAATAATTAGCGAAATTGGCGCAGTGCCTAAGTCAAGGCCAAAAGTTAATTATGTTGTATGTTCATTATTTCATTGTTTTAACCGATTACATCTTGCCGTGGAATATTATCTGCCGGAGGTTTTATAAAAAAAAAACTAATAACTATAGATTGCATTATATAGCAACAATAATGGATGTGAACGCATCCAGTGCGTGGTTGTCTATACGAGCATGCACAGATCTCCACGATGAGGTCCGCGGTAGTTTACAAAATTGCAGAAACAATTCTTTGATACTCAAAGCAGTCATGATTGGATAGTACTGAGATGGATTTTTGATGGTCAAATATTTATTTTTGCACGATGTTATATACTTTGAGTTTCCCACTATAGGTGGAAATTTTCAATGAAACGAAATTCGCTCGATTTTCTTTTCAATTGGGAGAATTCGACCTCAGCGGATTCCCTTCGCCGGACACAACACGACAAAAATCTCCGCCTAGTGAAAAACCGCCCTTACACATTAAGTAATTTATAATACATGTTTTACAATTGAAATAAGTGCACATATCAAACTTAATTAATACAAATGCCTAATACCCATTTTGTGAGGCTCATATTTCACCGAATTAGCTGCGAAATGTCGGTAAATTTTGCGGTTTTTTGCTTCTTGCTCTTTGTGTGAACAAGTTGGAAAAAACTTCCCGAGATATATGAAAATTAGTCATATAAGCTTTATTTTGAATTATTTCGCGTGGTGAATAGACGTAATTACCGCTCGTCATTTTCGAGTTGAAATGAGACTGTGAAGCGATATTTTATTAGGACTTTGTACAGTGCGCGCGTCAATGGGTTGGGGGATTGAGCCATAGTTCGAAATACGCATGCTCTGCGCGGTAGTTACCACCAAATTTGAATAGCTCGAAAGGAAAGCTACATTTTGATACGAAATTCGTCGTGATTCGAGGCATTTTTGGCCTGTCAAAATGCGAGTCAATTTACTAAAGTTGGTATTTAGTTTGCTGTTGATATCCAGCATTGCCATAGATGTAGCTCAGGCTG